GTCTTTCTTATAACCATATTTTCTCTTAAATTGCAGGGAGATGGCTGGGTTTATCACAAACCCCTCTGGAAAACAGTCCCTGCCGCACAAACTCAGCAAACGGACAATAACTAGAAAAAAGCTGCTTTAAGATGAGTTTTCTGGTTTTCCTCTCCTTTTCCTCTGTCTCTCAGAACACAGTAATCACACTGAGTGTCCCCTTTTTATGTAATTGTGCGAGTTTAAATGAGCATAAAGAAATAACTATACTAGGGCACTTTAAAGCTGTTTAAAGAAAACCCAAACAAACAGTAAAAATCCAAGTTGTASAGACAAACTTGCCAGGTACATTCAACCAACTTGGTTTTTTGTATGATCCAAGAGATTTTATCTGCATTGTGTAAGATTCTTCTAAGTAGATCTGATTGCAAAAGCTGCCTGAGAGAAGAAGGAACCTGTTGGATTTTGGAGTGACATAGGAACTCTTTGGGAATCTGTGTCAAGCTCTTTAATAACTGAAACCTCCTCAGTACACATGTAGACAACAGCAACAAAAAATTGCTGCTTTTATGCCCAGTAATTAACCTTCTTGGCAAAAACTGGAAGGGTGTTTGGAAGATGTGCCTGAAATCAGTATTATGAAACAACTGGATCATGACGACCTTCTCTTCAGACAGAACGYGTGCATGCATTGGAGGAATATGGGATGTGTGTAGAGACTACTTTTCTTTTTTATGGATTTATAAAAGCAATTAGAAGTGTAACCATGGAGAAATTTTTCCTCTGAAACATTTTAATATACTTGAAATAATTGACTTGAATTGGAGAAGTAATTTGAACACTTTTCAACTCTAATTTTATTAAATCTCTTTGAGTGACTGTTTTTTCTCAAGTTATAGTGTAATGAGATCTGGCCTGTTTTTTCTCCTCCAACTTCTCCTCCTGAGGACTAAGGCTTTCAAAATGAASAGAAAATATACAATTTTGTATTTAAATTTCTCTGCCCATCTAATTGTCTCAGAGATGAAGTATCAGTGTTACAAACTGTCCTTTGGGTTGTTTTGTTTTTTCTCCTGTGGTGGTGTTCAGAACAAAGCAGTGAAATGTGACCTTGAATACGTGGACTGTAGGTCCTGGTTTTTCATCTTACCATAAAAAAACCCAAACAAACAACTGATTATGCTGAGGACTGGGTATTGATTTCAAACACAATCAGATATCAGGAAACTGTATTCAGGTACAAACATCCTCTTTTCTTTTTTTTTCCTTTTTATAACTATTTTATTGAAGTCTAAGAATTGCTGGCAATTAAGAATAGTACTTACTATGGCTTTCGTTATTGTTGTAACTACAAGCTACCTTAATTTTTCCAACAGTGGTGCCTTAATCTGTTTTTTCTTCTGATGTAGTCTTCCAGTCAGTGTATATAACATTATCTGCCACTTCCCAGCCATGGCAATGGCTGCACCTGATCCAGCATCATGAGARCACACAACTGTGTGATCGGGTAAGATGTTTTCCACAGAGGAGATGCAAGTGTAAGAATGCATCAGAAGGTTTAAATAACCATGTTAACTTTCAACACAAACTGTAAATCATGCAAAAAAAAAAAAAAAAAGTTGCGTTTATGCACAACTGTTTTGATCCTCTTGTATATTTTTTTTTGCTGTGAAATGCACTGAGATCTCAACGCGAGTCATAGTCCGTTTGTGAGAAGTGGGGGGGGGATAATAAAGCTACAAAATGATTCATTTGTTCTGTCTGCTTTCCTAAAGATCAGGTGACCAGGAAAGAGTAGGTTGTTCTTGTTTTCTTTCATGCTGGAGATCTCTCTGGACTTTCCTTGGTCCCARAAGTGGATATTTTGGCACCATGTGCTTGAGTGGTTACTATTCCCCAGCAGAAGAATGTTTTAGGTCCTGCTTGTCTTGTTTGTGACATTCTATACGACCATCCTGTTGTGATAGTTTTGGATATCCATTGGGCATTTTCATGTTTAACCAAGAATAAAGATAAAAATTAAAACAGTGGGATTAGTTCCTCCTTSTTTCTGGGTCTTGACACATTTGGGGTGTGCTCCTTGCCCAATTCCAAGATTTGGGGTAGGAATCATGGTGGCAATGTGTGAATTTCTTCCATAGTTCATCAGTACCTGCACCAAACTGGACCTGGCAGAAAAACAGATTAACACTGTATACATTTCATAATTATTTTATCTGTATCATGTGGCACATTTGCTTAAACGAACGGCAAGGACTGTGGTGCAAGGTCCAGCTCTTAATAGTGCAATGATCRGAGCAAAACCAAACCTTTTTCAGCTGAACATACTCCAGGGATCAAACTTGAGCTTACTAAAAAAAACTCAGTCACTAAACTCACCTTCARATTTTGGTTTGGGAATTTGTCAAGGTGATACCTGTAAATGAGACTGAAAAGGTCCCATGTTGATCATAAACCCATTTGTTTTCCTTACTTAAAACTATTAGTCAAGTTATTTCTCTTCCTCCCTCGTCTGATATTCTTGTGGTTTCACACTAAGAAAGCTGTTACTAATTTTGTTGTGTAAAAATAGACCTAATGCTGAAGAAATATTTTGATRAAATACATGAAGTGATTTCTTTGAACACAGGAATATTTCTAGGAAAAAAGAAGGTAAAGCCTTTGCTCAAGTGATCGCCAGAACTGGAATGGTTCCTGATGTGGATTTAGTTATGRTGCCAATTTCTGCTTATAGAAACAAAGGATATGGTTGGAAACAGTTAATATAGCCACTGAATATCCAGCTAATTGTAACTGTGATTCTTCTGAGAGTTGCAAGCACCCTGTGGACTATTAGATGTATTTTTAACTCTGACCAGATTTGATTCTATTGCATAACTGATGTTGTTTCCATCCTGTACCTTCTGGAGCAAAGGGAAGGGCTCAGTGCTGCTTCCTGTGTAGACACTTGCTAGCACCACAGTGTGTTCCAACAGGGAACATGGCAAAATAGGACACTGGCTTRTGTTGCCTTCTGTCTTCTTGGCTTGATCAGGCCCCACTGAAGTAAAGAGCAAAATTCTCATTGATCTCAGTGGTTTTAGGTTCCCTGAATCATAACCAGATCTTGGAGCTTAAATAAGGGGCTGTCTTCAGAAGTGCTGTGCAGCCTGGTGCTCATGGAAAACAGAGTGTGGCAAGTCACCCCTGTCTAATGTAGGYAGTCAGGTGTGTAATCCTGATGGATTTGTGTTTTATGGGAAAAAATGCACTATGCAAATCAGGTTGTGCAAGATTTTAGGCATGGGTAGGGGAAAAGATAAAGTTTTTCAGCATACTTGTATTATGAACTGTCAAGCCTAGGATGAAGTCTGTSTCCCCAGGGGAATTTGGATTTCAGCCATCAGAATCAGAGATGCAGCCATCAATGTCTGTCTAGTTTGCACAGACTGATGCCCCTCTGTCCCTGTCACCTGGGGGAAGAACAGGTCAGAGTGCCTTTTAAATCCTTTTGAGCTTGGAAGAACAAGTAAATACATTCATCAGTAAATCTGAATAATTTGGTGCAGAATTTGATATGGAAATTTTGCACAAAATACTACGGGAAGGAAAGATTGAATACTCTGGGGAGTTCCTATAGATTTTTGTCTCCATGACTGAGAAGCTGTCCCATGCTTTTTTTTTTCTTGTGCCAGAGCAGTGGTTAATATAGTCAAGAAATGAGACTGAAGTCAGGTGGGTGGAAAAGGTGGATTTGTGGAGAACTGGGGAGGATGTGAAGAGGAAAGGGTTAGCTTGAAAAATTATATTAGGAGGTAGCAGCCAGGTGAAGATTAGTGAGAATGACAGGCGTGGTCAGAGTTGCAGGTGGAATAAGTGGTAGCTAAGCAAATCTTTTGTGATTTAGATTTGATGCAACCTAATTCATTCCCCTTCAGTCCTTCTTTGAACTGGGTGGAGACAGTTTGGTTCTAGGCTTTTAATTTAGCAGCTCTAAAAACAGTCCAAGGAGGTGGAAACAATAGCTAGAGAAGAAAGGGTTTTTATAGTTTTTATATGGGCTGGTGCTGTCATAGCTGAACATTTTAGAGAACCAAACCAGCCCTGCTGTTCTGCTTCCCTGCTCCACATAGGGGAGCCTCGGCTTTAGGAAATTTGTGGTTATTGCATGGTTTGCTGCATTCCCCTTTCTGGGCTGATCCATGCAGCTGTGTGGTGGCAATCAATGTATTCCTCTCAGATGCTATCCCGAAAAATACACCTCTGTGTAGGTGTCAGGCATGGGCTTGCGGGGCTTAGGGGCATCTGGGGTTTTTGCTCTCTTTACTCCCAAGGGTGGAGTGATTTGCACAGTACCAGAGTTCAGAGCAAGGTGTGACTTACCTTTCCTCAACTGCTTTCCAGAACAGAGGCAGCCTGGATGGATCTGGTAATCGTGGGAATAAAGGTCTCAGTTCTGTCTGATTGTGTTTCCTCAGGTGGGGTAACCCAGCAGGGGGGTGCGAGAGGTGCAGGAAGAATTGGCCAAGGCACTTTGTTGACGCTGTTACTGTGGCACAGATCTGGCTAGAGGTGGCTGGAAACTGGTCTGATGGGGGAAGGGTTGTCTAGATACCCTGCATGGAGCGTTTTTAGGGTGAAGCAGCCATGTCTGCACTGGTGACTTCTTCTCTCCCTAAGAAGCTTCATGCACTCACCTAAACTATCAATTAACCCATGAATTCTCCAGTGAGAAAAGGTATGTTAGAGTTGCTTGCTATCAGGCTTTTACAAACTGGATTATCATGGATCTTTGCACAGTGTTGAATGAGTGATTTTCTTGGATGTCAGCATTTCTTCCATTGAAGGTATGATACATCTCATGATGTCTTTTTTTTGCTGCTACAACAGATTTTGTGTGTGTGTGTTAGTGTGTGTAGGACATTAAAAAAAGGAAAATTGTTTTGATCACTGCAGAATAAGTTAGAAAAGAAACTCATGATGACAATACGGAAGGACTTAAAAAAGACATGGAATTCAGATGCTTATTAATAAAAGATTAAACATTATTATTTTAAAAAATAATAAAAAGAATGCTTTGCATCATTATACATTTTAAGTAAGTACAAAGTCAGTTCATATAATAATGTTGCACTTTAACCAAAATATTGATTCCACAGTTCACTGTATCTGTGAGAGGAAACAGATCTTATAAATAATTTATGTACTAGATCTTAGTTCCATTTTGAAAAACATTGAGGGTTTTTTTCCCCCGTAAGCTAAATGCTTCTCCCTTATTCTCTTGTTCCTTGGAATGAGGACTTGCGCCTGCTGCGTCACTGAATGTTTCTGCTCCCGTCACTGTCCTGGTGCTCCCCTCCTGGAGAAGCTGTTTTGCTGGCCTCGTTGTCCATGTTGTTGTTGAGGATGTCATCACAATCCATCTGTGCCATCAGGTTGAAGCGCTCAGCCACGCAGTGGGCGGTGAGCCGAGCCTCGGGGTCGTGGTCCCAACACTCYGTGATGGTGTCGCACAGGAAGCGCATTCCCTGCAGACACAGGGGCTGAAATTAGGATCAGAAGGCAGGAGGAAGAGGATCTAACACACTCTCGGTGTTTTACCATTCTTCTGAAAGCCTCCTGCATAAAGGCTGTTTTTGGCCAAGCATTAAGCACAAGAGGAATCGGCCTCAGTAAGTCGTGGAAGTGCGGATGCTTCCCCTGGCACTGCTTGCGTTAGAGCAGCAGCCTCAGCTCCCCTGGCATCTGCTCCCAGATTCCCCATGCTCCCTGGAAATTGGCTCGTGTTGGCTGTGAGACTGAGGGCCTGTTTCCTTCCAACCCCTATTTATCTCCTGTCTCAGCCTTGCCCATTTGGATCAGAGCATCCTAAAATCAGGWGAGATGGGAGAGATGTGCACGGTGACCTGCGGGCTGCTGGCTGAGCCCAGGCCTCTGGGTTTGAGCCTGTTACACTTGGAGGGAGGGGATGGGTGGRAGGGGGAATTTCAATGGCAGATTTGGAATTCATTTCCTAAATCTGACTTCTTATTTTAGAGGCATTCTGAAAGGTTGTGCTGTGCCAAACTCTCACTGCAGTGTGCAGCTGAACCTTATCACAAAATAGTGTTTTGGTTGAGGTGGCGTGAGGTGCTTCCTRGTTTACTTCAGAGCATGTGGAGTTCCTCTCAGCTACAATGCATATGTCTCCCAGAAATCTATTTTTTTTTTTGTGTCCAATTGTGTAGGGCTCTGAAAAGAGTCACAATATTTTTGGCTTAGAAACAAAATAAATGGTAGTATTCAGCTGGTATTTTCCCCACTCTTTAGCTAGTAACACAGCTAGAAGCAGAAGCTGTGTTGAACCTTCCTTYGCCCATGTAATTCCATCATGTGCTATTGCTCTTGGCATCATTGTCAACTAAAGTTGGAACACAGTGGAAAAATCATTATTCTAAATAAAGCTTCRTGGTTTTCAGTGGGTTTTGTCTGTTTCTTAATTTGCAATTAAGAGAACCCTAAAGTCTCATATGGATCCACACAGGAGGAAAATCCAAGTCCTACAGAGGTGTAGGGTCAGTGCCATTTGTCCTTCACCTTACTCAGAACTCACTGCTCTCTGTTAAGTCATTATACTAAATCTTCCATAATGAACACAGATTGGAGAGAATGGGATTGTACAGCAAAACTGACAGATGGTGTGTTTCAGCACCTCTGACATCACTCATTTATTAGCTTAGTTGAAAGGATTGCAGGGTAATTGATTACATGTAAAAATGATCTAGCTTAGGTGAAGATTTTAAAGTCAGCCTGTTCTCAAACAGGACATGGAAGATTTTCTGTATTTTTCCCTGGAATCATAACACTTGTTTGCAATTTGCCTTGTAGTGATGATGCTCTTTCAAATGGTATAACTGGAACGTCTTGTTTGGCTTAAAAAATGGACTCAATTTGGCTTTTTATATTTGGTATCTGTTTTTCTGAGATTCCAAAGGATGCTGAGTTGTACCAAGTGTGTTTTTAGTGGCAATATTGACTTAAGCTTGCACTGCTCCTTCCTGCCCTGCACCAGCCTCTGGTTGTACCAGTGCATCAGTCTGTTCAGCTGCTTTGTGAACCAGATTCAGGAATTTATCTAGCGTAAAAAAAAAAAGTTACATTTTTTTTAATGTGGTAGGGTGTGAAACAAAGTAGAAGTAGTGGCGTAGGGGGTTTGTAAGTTATCTGGGAAACTGGGGATAAATTTCTTTAGCTGATTTTGTTGTCTTGCAACTAGTTGCAAATAATTGCCCTGAAGCTGCAGTTGGATGAGTCAGCCTTGTCAGGGAAATTAGTGCTGACACTTGCTGAAAATCAAACCATGGTCTTCACTTGACTGAGAGCAATCTTGATGGTTCAAACCTCCACAGTAGCATTTGGAGCTCKGCAGCAAACTTATTTTCATTGCAGGGAACATCTATGGGTGCTTGTCACCCTTTCTCAGTGTCACCCAACAMTTCCTCCCACAGGAAGGCAGCCTTGACGCCCAGAGTGGCACAAGCCGGTGGCTTTCTGCTGCTTCCCAGCAGATGGTGCTGCCCAATTCCTTATCCCGGGGAGAACGGCTGCAAAATGCCCGGMAAATGCTGTAAAGCCAGGCTTGTAAGGAGATGTTTATGAGCTCAGCAGAGCTGAGAGATTAGTCAGAGAAAAACTTTCAGCAACACAACGTGGCTTTTCTGTTCCTCTTCCCCAGTGACCATCAGATGGTCCAATAAAACTTCCCACCTTATAAGCCTTGCTCTGTTTTCCTGCTAGGCCAATCCAACATTATTTCTGGGAGGTGACTGCAGTCAGCCTCCCTGCAGCCCAGGCAACAGCACAGTTGTGCTCACGCTCTATCAAAGTGTGATTTTTGTGAGCCTCTGTATATTTTTTCTGTGGTTTCAAAGTTTATYGGAGACCCTGGGAGGTGAATGTCTGAGATGAATGCTCAAAGGCTTCAAATATGTGGCAGTGCTGATTTTGAAGCTCCTGTGTTTGCCTTTGTCAATGAAAAAGGCTGGGTGAGCTTCAGAAATGGGCTCACTGACTGATAAACTCCCTGGGGGTCCCACAGAAACCACGGAGTCATTTGATGCTGTTTGCAGTTTTGGTCAGCCAGGTCAGCTGTGAGTCTTTGGACAAACACAGTKTTGAGAGGAGGCATTGTAGGAAACATGTGGGCTCGTAAGGTCGAGAAATTCTCTTTCCTCATGCAAAGCCTGCCTCTGTGCACCRTCAGGGCAGGGTGGGAGCAGTGGCAGTGTATTTTATAGGATATTGCAAAATGATGCACTGACCACTGCAAGGCTCTGAAAGCCAGCAGGTTCGATGTTCCAGCTTCATTTTCAGGTGAATGGGAGTTGRTCAGCAGATGGTGTTTTTCCACAAGACATGGGAAATTCAAGAAGTACCAGAGTYAGGCAAGACATGGCAGTCAGGCAGAAAGCACTGACCTGGGGCAGAGGACCTGTCGGGGGCAGGAGGGAGCTCTGTTGTTTCTGTAGCTGGTTGCTCTGGGTGTGCTTGTGGGTGGTTTTAGCAGAGCACATTTCATCACTGCTGAAATGTTCCTGTTCTAGAACACTGGGTTATGCTCTCTGTGCTGACACACTTTTTTTTTCAGACCCTCTGAAGGCTGGTGAAGAACTTCCCTTGGCAAGCCCTGAGCCTTGTTGAGTTCCTGCTCTCAGCTTCACTCACTTTTCCTGAGTTTCCCACGAAGGAGGTGTTTCCTGCTTTGCTCTCCCTCRTAGAAATGGAAATCTTTCTTTCATGTTCAAGGTAATTCTGAGCTTGAAACCTGCACAGCCAAGCAGGCAGAAAGCTGGATGTCCCTCCCTTCCTCTCTGTCCCTGCTGTGTGTGAGGAGCTGCATGGTTCCTGAGCCTTCCAGACAAGATCCTTGAGGGAGCAGCTTTGTGAGCTGCAATGATTTATTGTTTTATGGGAAGAGCTGCACTGAAATGCTCTATTCTGCTGTAACCCTCAGGATAACTGAAACTTTGATTTTTCAGGCTGGTTTAGTGAGGTGGGACAGTGTGTGTTGCTGCCAGCTTACCTGGTGCACCAGCCAGCTGCTTGGGATCTCGGGCCGGCCTCTGCCGTGCAGCACGATGTCCCTCATCGTGTCCACACAGGGCTGCTCCTGGACTTTGGACCCAAAAGGCAGCTCATAATTCTTTACCTCTGCAAGGAAGTGACAGCAGCATTACAGGATGTTTTTGGTGCATTCCCTGCTCTGTTTTGGTATGGTCTGCTGGATGAGAATGGATTTGTTTTTAACAGTCTGCAAAAAAAAAAAAATATAAGCAGATCTGGAAACAATTGAGAATTTGAACACAGAAATGTAGTTGTGAGACAGTACTGGGGAACCATCTGACCACCTCCCTGAACCCAAAAGATGCACTAAAAAGGACCTGGTTTGTCTTTGGGTTAGACATATTTTGATCAGGCAAAAAGAGTTGTGCTGGTGAAAGATGGGAGAGGTGACTATGATGCCAGATTTTCCAGATTTCTGCTGCAGCAGGGGATTGATTAGAGGAGAAATGGCCCTTCCAGAAGAGCAACCCCATGTCGTGGACGACGCTGCAGAAGCTGCCTGTTGGCAGAGGTGAGAGGCCACCCTGGTTACTGCCAGCTCCTGCCTGGATGTGAATGCAGGTGAGATACAAGCAGGGAGGGATAGCYTGGGATGCTGCTTTGGGAACAAAGGATGGATGAGGCATCTGAGCCAGGCAGGGGCCTCCCACTGCTGACCATGAACCTTGAAGGGCAATAGGAGCAGCTTTCTAGCCAAGGGTTGGAGAGTCCTGCAGCCCCTTGGGCTGGAATTGTGAGTAGGTGGGATAGGGAAGGTAAGGAAACGGGAGAAGGCAGAAGGCAGGTGGGGGCTCACACCAGGGCAGTTAAGGAAATGTTTTGCTACACACACTTTCGATGTGGCTCTGGGAAGTGAGGGGGGATGTCACACTGTCAGAGGCTGGGGTTTRTGGGTGCCCACTGTAACACAAGCTCTCTGGTGTTGTTTCTGAAGAAAAAAATGGTTGAGGAGGGGGAGGCACCTTTGGCCCTTCCTGCTTGGTTTGCTTTGCTTCACCAGCACAGGCTCCATGGGACTCGGCAGCTCGTCTAGGGGCTGGACCAGATGTCCCCATGGATTCCTGTCCTGCTCCTTGACCACTGAGCCACCCCCCTGAGCCACAGGACACACAGCAGGCAGCCATGGCGTGATCTGTCACCRACTCTTGGCAGCCCTACAGAGACCTGGGCCACCCCAAGTCACGTCTTGTGCCATCGGTTGGGATGTGAGAGTAAAGGAGCAAAAAGCCACACGGCAACTCYGGTGCCATGATCCTACCTCCTACCACCTCACATCTGGAGGCCATTTCCCACAAAACGAGGGCCATGGAGTAGACATCCATCTGCTTGAAAGACTCCAGGTCTTCCAGGTTCACTCTGGACTCCAGGACCTCTGGKGCCATGTACCTGGCGGTGCCCACCTGCCCGCAGAGAGGAGAGAGGCATTAGCAGGGGTGGGTGAGGACTTGGACCCCAGGAACCCCGGGGGAGGGTGGCAAAGGCTCCTCCAGAGGGGGCCGGTGGCTCGCACTTGCCTGCCCGCTGTTGGCAAAGTCGTCCACGGTGAGCGAGGGGTCGAGGCGGATGGCGATGCCGAAGTCGCAGAGCACGCACTCCTGCTCGTTCTTCACCAGCACGTTGGTGCTCTTGATGTCGCGGTGGGCGATGGGGATCTTGGGGCGGCCGCAGGCGGTGTAGTCGCTGTGCAGGTGGGCCACCCCGCTCACCAGGGACCCGGCCATCTTCTGCAGGTCCGTCCAGCTCAGCACGTGGCGGGACAGGTAGTCCTTGAGGTTGCCGCGGCTGTGGTAGGCGGTGATGAGCCAGTACTCCCGGCGGGGCCCCGCGCCCCGGTCCTCGGCMGTGAGGAACTGCAGCACGCTGTCGTGCCGGAGGCTGCTGTCGGTGAAGATCTGGCTCTCGTTCTTCCACGAGGAGTATTCCTCGCAGGGGAARATCTTCACGGCCACCGTCTCGTAGTGTCCCGAGCGGCTGTGGCTCAGCTTGGCYCTCCACACCTCGGCGAACTGCCCTTTGCCCACCATCTCGTCCAGCTCGATGGGCAGCAGCTCCGCGGCGCGGCTGCAGCCGGGGCCGGGGCCGGGGCCGGCCGGGCTCTCATCCATCAGCACCGACAGCTTCTCCTCCCGCTCGCTCGCCTTTCCCKGCTCCGGCAGCGCCGGGGGCCGGCTCTGTTTGCCGCCCCACGCCTTGGCTCTCTTGCGGCGCTTCTGCGTGCGGCACAGGTAAAATATCACCGTGATCATCACCGCCACCAGCAGCGGYGGCAGGAGGCTGATGGCAGCCACTGGGATCACCTCCTTGCTCTGCAGCATGGAATAGCCTGAGGGGAGGAAAGCAAAGGCGAGGTGCTGCTGCTGCTGCGGCTCTGCCACAGCTCGTTCTCATCACGCGGAGGAGGAAAATATGCAAAGCTGTTAATGGAGCGCAGCCCTTTGCGGGGCCGCAGAGCCCGTCCCGGCACAGAACCCAGATGTGGGCGCTTAGCAAGGGGCTGCTCGGTTTCGGTCTCAAATTTAGCTCCATTTATCAAGGATACGGCCAGCATCGCTTGGATGGGCAGTGCGACACATGAGACCCTCCTGCTGCCGCCCAAAGGGGCTTCTGGGGGTCCCAAGYGCTGCTTGCACTCGTGGCCGGGGAAGCTGGGCTGGAAATAATAGCGATGAATGAGAGGCAAGGCTCAAACACAGCAAATCTCTTAGGGGCTGGAGCTTTGCAAGACCTCTGTGGAACACAGAGAGCCGGGAGGGATGCAGGACCACCCAGCCCAGGGATGCTTTGTAGGATAATTAGCACACAGGAGCATCATTTCAGTGCGTGTCTGCCACTGTTGGCATCTCCTTCCTCACCCCATTACGACAGCAACCCCAGCAATCGCCAGGGCACGGCTGCATTTGTTTTCTTTCTTTTAAACCCCCTGTTGGCCTTCAGATTGTTGGGGGGAGGACACGCACACAAAGCCATAACCCTCACACAACATATAATTGTCTGATCCTTTGATGTTCGCGATTCCTGGAATAAACATGCTGACTTCAGTAGAGATATTCAAGTAAAATCTTACTCAGAAGTTTTTCTGCCAAGGATAATAACCCAGGGGAAGAGGGATAAGAATCATTCCATAAGCAAAACTCTCGCTGCTTGACCTCAGTGTGTGCAGATCATAATTCAGGTTCTGGAAAAACAGAGCATTTAGCTATTTTCCTTGGCAAATTTCAAAAAAATGTGCTGCAGCTAATTTCTGCAAGGCTGTGAAAGCGTTTCTAAAATAGGCATCAGGTTTAAACCACAAGATCAACCTAAACTGATATAAATCAATAACTAACTCAAGAATATGTTTATTTTGGAAAGTGCTAGGCTTGGATATCACCTACTGCTTTAATGGATTTACCCGATGCTTCGGATCCCATCTTTGAAACTCTGAAAAAAGAGAAGATATTTTTAAAGGGAGTTGCGTGCACAAGTCCCAAAAAGGGGAAGTTAACACAACTTCAGGAAATTCCTTCATGAGGATGCCCCTTCCTGAGGGAAGTCTTTTGATCCACAGGAGTTGCAGCAGGGGTTAGACCCCTTCAACAGAGAGCAAATTTAGTTGCTCTGGCAATAACCCCAGGTCTGTGAACCCACACCTTGTTGGATGTTGCTGCAGGGGTCTGTCCATCCCTGCTGAGGGGACATGGACCCTCCAGTGCTGGGCTCAGCTGGAGTAGAGATGGAAAGGATGCTCTATCTTGGCATGCTCCACCCTACCCAGCATCCTCCCAAGGTGCCCACTGGGCTCCTGTGTACACAGCTTTAGGAAATGATGGCTCTCTGTGTTCATTAGCGTGGTCTCTGAGCTCTGATGGAAACCCCAGTGTGAGGGCACTTCCACCCCGCAGCCCAGACCTGAAAGGAGAGCTGAAGGAATTGAGAAATAGGAAAAAAATCTGCCTGCTTCAGCTGCTGGAGAAGCGCTTGTSTCTGGTATTTCTCTGCTCAGGAGTTGTCTATACCATTGAATATGGCAGTAAGTTAATATTTAGAATGCAAATGACCCTTAAAGCAGAAGAAAAGGATGCAAAGAGCGGGGTCTGTGAGCCTGGGGGTTGCCCAAGTTGGCTCCATGGTCAGTATCAGAGGAGAGAGCTGTTAGAGCCCTGCACTGCTCTTGCTCCCCCTGCTTTCCACGCCGGCTGACAGGAGGAGGCTGCAGAGCCTTTGCTGGGGGTGGCATTTCCAATGAGCCACTTGTCATTTTTGTGTGAAATTACATATCCCAGCATCGGTTTTGGGATTCGACTCTCTCCCTAGAAATGTGTGTACCTGTTATGTTTGGCTGGGGAAGCAGCAAAGAACCGCCAAATTTAGCATCATTTGCCTCCATTAAAGTGGCTTGTTTGTGCTGAGAATTTGCATTTCATGTGATGTTTTTCTTTTTTCCTTATGTTGCAGGAGAAGCTGTGCCACTGGCTTGCAGGTCCTGCTTAGGCTCATTTTCAGCATCTCCTGTTATGGAAAATTGGAGACGTTTCACTTTGCTTTCATTACAGGTCAGGTTCTTGATGGACACTTGGATAAGCCTGGTCCACTTGGAGCYGGGGAGGTTTGGACAAGCCCCCAAAAGGCTCAAGATCTGGTTGTAAATGTTTCCAAAGTATACGRCCCTCCTGAGGTACAGAAACGAGCTGTATTTTGGTTTTCCCTGCCGTAGATTTACAGCTCCCGTTGGATCTGCAGCAGCGTGCCAAGCCACGCTCACTGTGTGCACAGCACCGGGGTCATCCCTGCCCGGCAGAAATGCTGCTGCAGGAATTCCCAAGAGCACCAGGAGGGGCATTTGTGTGTCCCAGCACCTCCACCTGCTCAGGTTACAGCTSTGGGGGATGCCAGCACTTCTGTGGGTGTGTGCTGGGGCAGGATTTGCTCTGATGAGATTCATTTAAAGCTTTCAGAGCTTTTGACTCACATGGGTTTCATCAGCTCCTGGGTTCTCCAGTTGCTTCACCCTGTGCTGAAGGCACAGCTCACTGATCTGGTGGATTTTGCAGCACCTGATGTTTCCAGGCAAAGGCTGGGGGTACTGCTGGGGGGAATACTTTGGCCACAGATAAAATGCTGGGTTCAGTGATGGGGTAGAGATTTTACCGGTTTATACACAGGGAGATGAGAGGAGATGGTGGAACAGCCCCTGGTGCGATCACACCTCCCGCTCTTCTGGAAATACAAAGGGTTTGTCACGGGCACTGGGCACTGCTGCTGCCATCAGTAACTCACCGTTGGTGTGGTTCTCAAAGATGAGTTTGTCRTTGCACTCCTGCTCGTCCACGCAGCCGCACACGTAGAGGATCCCGTCGTCACTGGGCTGGTGGCTCATGGTGCAGCGCGAGGTGTTGTAGTTGGGGACCATCAGGTTCTCGATGGGCCGCAGGGGGTTGTGGCACAGTGTGCTGATCCTGATGCTCTCATTGTCCTGTCTCCTGCGTGTGACAAGGGAGCCAATGTAGTGTTAGCCTGGCAGCTCAGCCTTTGTGTCACCCCTGTGTCACCYTAAACCCAAATCTAAGATCATTTTCTGCAGTGGCTCTGGTGTAATTCTGCTTACRTGTACTTATAGGATCAGTGGTGGGGGATGCTGGGCCTGCACAGCTACAGCATTGCAGCTACTCCTGGRTGCATTCAAAGGAGATGACAACCATTAATTACTTTTCAGGGAGAGCCTCTCCCTCCTGACCTGCTGGTGCAAAGTGGGAGGGTGAAGGTAGGGAGAGGTTTCAAAATGTGTTTGAGGTCAGCTGGGAAGTCAGAGGTAAAAGCCAAGGAAAGAACCTGAATCTGTCACCCTCTCCCTGGTGAAGTCCCCCTGTTTCAATGCTCCTCACATTTTCTTGGGGCTACCAGGTAATTTGACAGAGGAGCTTCCAGTTGAAGAGCTCTTGGAGGGTGAGTTCCCTTCTCCATGGGCTCACAAGGCTTGGCAGCTGGAGGACATGAGTACGGGGTCAAAGCTGCTGCTGTGGCTCAGATACCCTTCAGGACAAGTTCAGATGATCCAGATACACCTCTGCAAGACAGCAACAAGCAGCAAGGCTGGCCTGGAGGTGAGCCCTGCCTGCAGGGATCTTATTCTCTGGATGAATCCTGGAATGGGGTGGGAGATGCTGGAATAGTTTGCAGGCTATTTGTGACTGTGTAGCTGCCTCACCCCATCCCATACACAAAGCAGGGAGAAGCTCCATCCTGTGCAGGTGGGAATGCTTCTCTGGCATGGGGATTCGTGCTGCAGGGTCCTTGCTTTTTCCTGTATGTGTAAGCTGTAAACATAAAAAACCCAGTGGCACACTGGATTGCCTACCCAGGATTTAAGGTGGCTTCTCCATGTGTGTGTAGGGGAAATTGGGGCAGGGGGTGGGTGGATTTTGTTGTTTGTTTGTTTGGGTTTCTTGCTGTGTTTTGCTTTTCTGAAAGTCCATAATGCAACAGTTATGCTGAGGCAAACTCCTACTGGAAGCTGGCATGCAGCATTCACGCTAATTAGCAGGTTGAGATAAAGCCTAGCGATAAGTGCTTGGCTGGCTTTCACTTTGGCAGCCAAATTAAAAGGGAAAGTGGAGGCAAATCACTCTGGGCAGACCCAAAATGGATATTTTTTTTAGGTTTGCTCATGGGGACCAAGAAGCTGGGGGAGGCACTCTTCCGGGCCAAACCATGCAGTGTGTGCTCGGCCTGAAATGCAAGATTGTGTTTCCTGTGCAGGCACCTCCCGCAGGAGCAGGAAAGGGCTTTTTCCAGGGGGTTGGGAAAGAGGTGGGTTAAACTCCGTGGGTTAACCCAGAATGGTGCCAGCTCAGATGTCCATGTGCTGGATGGGGACTGGCCTTGGYTGCACCCCTGCATGTGAGCCGAGGTTTCACCAGCCTGATGCAAGAGGACATCATAGGTTTGGAGGTCAGGGCTGCTGGTTTGCCCTTGRGTTCAGCTTGTAAAGCTAAATTCAGAGGTTTATGGGAGTTTATAGGTCCCACTGCAAACTTGCCACGCTTCGTCTCAGGCACTCAGAAGCTTAATTTATTTAGAAAATAAAACTGGTGCTAATTACAGGGCAGACCAAGTAATGCTTTTACTGTGAACTGTAATTTTAATTATGGTGGAGTCAAAGAAGGAGGAAGAGAAAGTCCTGAATTACTGCAAAGGACAGTAACCCAAGCACGGGGTACACGCACRAACCCCTCGGGGAGGGATTCCCCCTTACCATATGGCCACGCAGATCTCGTAGGGGTCCTCGCAGTAGGAGTTGAGGTTGCAGTTGCTGTAGCACACCTTGTCCTCGCAGGCCGGGGCTGTGGAGTCGCACCACTTGCACAGGTTGGTCTTGAGGCTGCGGCGGGCGCTGCAGGCTGGGGAGSGACAGGGGTGGAGTGGTGAGCGCGGCTGTGCTCGCCCTCAGCGGGCAAAAACAACCACTGTTCACAGGGATTCACACAGCCAGTGGAGAAGGAGCCTGAGCTGACCCTGTTTCTCCACTCATTTTAAAAAATAACCTTTCACTTTGCTCTCCTGTGCCCGGTGAAATGTGCTTTGTGCGCTGCCRAAGCCGAGGGGAGCTGGGGGAGCGCTGTCCTGGGAAACCGCAGAGAACCGCGTTTCCTCTCCGTGTTTCCCGAACCATTTATCATCAAGAGGAAATTCACCTCTTCCTCTACAACCTAGGCTCAAATTGGCATTTCCCCTCATTCCCGAGTACGCTCGGTGTTTGAGAAGGGACATCTCCGGGTCATTTATTCCCCTCCGGGCAGGAAGAGAGGTGCAGGGGAGGGATGCACGGCCAGGCTGGGACAGCTCCCTCCTCTYCTGCTGTCTCCTCATCCTCCCTCTYYCTGTTCAACGAGGCCARGCTGGGAAATGYKCYTGCTACYCCTCCCCAAGCACSTSTGGCTGGGATTTCCCAAGCTCYGGGCTGCTCCCTCCAGGCTCCACTGCCCTCTCTGYCCCATCCCAGTACGAGATGCCCTCCTGCCCTGGAGCCCCAAATCTGCCACAGCAGCACCAATAACTGCTGTCTGTGGGGAGCTGCTCAGCCTGGATCTCACAGGCATAACATTATCTCTATTTTTGTAGAAAGGGTGCGTGAACCGTGCTTGGTTAAGGGATAAATCCCAGCTAAATTTAAACTTCCTGTCTTAAGGCTGCTAAATGTCTTAAAAAAAAAAAAAAAAGAAAAAGCCACTGAGTGGCTCATGCAGAAATACGTATTTATACATTTTTTAGCTTAAATATATGCACTCAAAAGCGTTCAGGCATGAACCCAAACTGCAGCAGCTAATTTTTTTAAGCCATGATTCTCTGGCTGCCACTTCCCTGAGCCACCCAGCAGTGCAGGGTGCTCCCAGCTCCTATGGAAAGGGCAGTCACAGCTCACTGTGCTGCCACTGCCATCACAGGGTTTCCCATCACCAGCTGTTAGTCTGAAGAAAAAAATAATTGCACAATCCCTGACTGTGAAGGCTCATCCCCTGCAAGCAGGGCCCTGCTGATCCAGCACACCATGGGCACCCCCAGGTCTGTCAGCAGCACCTCCTGTGTTCTTGGTGGTCACCTCTGTCACCAGCCTGTGGCCCTTGGCTGAGCCCACGGCCCCTTTTTGATGCATGTACTGTCCCAACAGCAAAAAGGGGTTTTGAACTTAACTGCCCCCCGAATCCAGGGCATGCAGCCTGCTCTGACCGCATCCCATGTGCCTGCTCTGCTTCCCTCACCGCCCAGACCCCCCTCCCTGTGACGRTCATAAAGAGCTGCTGGAAGGCTCCCACACAGAAATAAACCATTTACAAGCTCCCATGGCCTCGTATGTAGGGCCAAGGTTAATGGTGGAGGGGAAACCTGGGTGCAGAGGAAAAGCCTGTTGCATCTGAAGGCTGGARGGAGGAAATTTTGGTTTAAATGGCCCATGCCAGGCTTAAAATGCAGCTCAGGCTCAGCGGGGATTGTGTGGTGCCAGGTTTTGGGATAGCTGGGAGCAGAGTGGGGGAAGATGTTGCCCACAACCTCTTGCTCAGCATCCCTCCCATCTGTGGGGCTGCTCTGGCCATGCTGGGRCACCCTGGGATTTTGGGGGTGACCTCAGCAGATCCCTGGACAAATCCAGGTTGTGGACATTGCTGGTACAGGATAGGGTTAATTATTTATGTGTTTATATCCACCAGATTTTTTTTTTTATGTATTTATGTCAAGGTTTTCTTTGAGATCTCAGAGCGGAAAGTCAGCYCTGCCCTGCTGTGTGTGGTGGGGATCTTGGCTGCACTCTGCAGAGGGGAAGCCAGGACAGATGAAAGAGTTAAATATGGAAACAAGATCCAGAAATATAGCAGTAACCGGGCAAAATTCTTTGGAGACAAATTGTTCTAAACTAACTCAGGCTGTGATTCTGTTATCTGCTCCGCAAGAAAGGTCAGAGCAGGAATATCTCTCTTTTTCTCTCCCCCCCATCATTCTTTTCCTAGGAAGCTACAAAGAAGAGCACAAAACCCACTGAAAGTTTCTTCAGGACCGTGTCCTTGAGCTATTAGCTCGTAGGTGCAATTGAGCTGCCACATCACTCATTCTGGCCCTGATTAGACCCAGATGAACACTTTCAATATTAATAGTCGGGTGATTTAATAAAGCTGCACAAGCAGTAAAAGTAACAATACACTTCCATAAACGGGTTCCAGATGTTGCCAAGGCAAACGCTAAACATCAAAATACAAACTTAAAAAAAAAAAAAAAAAAAAAAAAAAAAAAAAAAAAAAAGAAGGCTTAAAAAAAAAGCTGGATAAGCAGAACTTGGAACAAACTATAAACTAATTAAATGTGGGTTGAGTTTTCCAAAAATAAATTGAAGCCATAAGGATGTGATGTGAGCCAATAAATAGTACAGTTAGTCAAAGTTATTGTGGAATGACAGTTGGAAAGATGGTTTGAAGKCACCGATAGGTGGGCTCACAGCGAGCCTGGCTTCCCATCAATAGGAAGGCTTGTTCTCCTGTGCACGAGAGCRGGATCAAATCTTCTGGTGTCTATAACTGGGACCCCAGAGAGGTTACTGAGAGAATATGAGATGATTTTCAAGGCAGGGAATAAAGGAAAAACACCACCAGGAGTGCCTGTGTCTCTCCTGCAGCAGCAGCAGGGGTGATACCACCACCCAAGGACATTGGGATAGTTTTTCATGCGTGTCAGGGCAGCCCTCCCCTCTCATTGCCCACAGGGCATCCACAGCCCCTGCTTGGCCACCTGCAAAGCCCATGGAAACACCACTGCTGTAGACAATAACCCACCCTCTTCCCCAGACAAGAGTCATTKTGAACAGCTCTCCAAAGAGAATTTCACCCCAGTCCCATCACAGCCAGCCCCCAGCAGATGAGCTTTGTGCCAGAGGTGACTGTGGCTGTACAAACACAGCAGGGGGATTTTGTGAGCCCCCCTGTACCAGCACAGCCCCAGAGTGCAGGTGGGACATCCAGCAATGACTCTGGCTGCAGCTTGCCCCACACTGAGCTCCCCGAGGAGGGGAAATCACTGCAGAGCAAGCCAGGGGTGCTTTGGGGTGCAGGCACAGCACATTCCTYACAGGCAAGGAGGAAGCATCTCACAGCCCCAGTGATGGCAGGCAAYGCATTTTCACTGAGGGGCAGAACAAACACCTTCAGCTCTCAGGTGTTCACCCTGACATGCAGCTTTGGGACAGCTACACAGCAGATGGGCRTGAGGGAATGTGTTTGGAGTGAGGTGTTAGGGCACTTATCCCTGCTGCCAGCCTTCCCCTTCCCAAGGTGGAAGGGGACCAAGGCCTCTGCCACACAGGACCTCCATTATAGGACCTTCAGATCATGCTCTGTCTTGCAGTGAGAATTGTCCTTACATTGCTTTTATTGCTCAAGGACAAAGAAAAATTGATAATTTTTAGGCCATAAATGCTCTAGAGTGAGGTTTATCCCCTTTTCTGAGTATCTCCAAGCACCCCAGGATGGGGCTGACGCGATCGCAGCAGTCACAGAGGGCTGCCCAGATTGCTGTTGCTGCTCTGGCTCCTGGAGTTCCCTGCATCACCTTTTCCATGCAGATCAGTCAAACTGTAATCCCCGGGCTTTGCACTGGGAAAGACTGGGCCAGGGAGATCAGCTGAGATGCTCTTTGCTTTCTCTAGCCAGCAGCTCATTTAAGCACAGGACTGGGAACTGCTCTGACTGAACCTCGTGGCTCTGTCATTCCTGGAAACCTCCAGATGAGTGCTCTGATGGRAACACAACCTGCACCAGGACCAACCTGCACCAGGACCTGCTTTCCCACCTGGGTGAGCCCTGGCTCGGTGGTGAGTCCTGTGCCTGCTGCCAAGTTTAGGATTAGGTTTTGCTTTGGGCTTTCATCCACGGTTAATGACATGACTACGCAGTAACAGAGCCTCTCATAAAATTATTATGAGAACAAACAAATTCCTTCCCTTTTATATGCAGTACTTTGTTTTTAAGATKAATCCAACAGCAGAGCTGATGGGCTCTGCTCTCTCTCTGACCCATGTGAGAATGCCAGGTGTTCCCCATCATCAGGTTACTCCAGAGCTGCCTCCTCTGTGATGCATCAACCCGTGCCACAGATGGGCACCAAGGTAATTCCTGTGCCCTGATCTCCAGGAGATTCTGTGCAGGGTCAGAAGTTCCCATGGCAGTGGTCCACCATGAGCTGTGTAACAGTGATCCCGGATTTCTTGCAGTCAGTTTGAGCTGGATCTGACTCGTTGAAAAATGCCTGGTCTTGTTGCAGCATCCTGTGTTGCAGAATCTCCCCAAACCTGAAAGTGCTGTGCTTCTATTTCGGGTGCAGTTCAGTTTCCTCCAGCAGACTCCTGTTCTCCGGTTTTCCTGGTGCTGCTTTCAGCTGCTGAACCAAAGAGGTTTTYAGGATCAAGCTCTTCTCCATCCGAAAGTTTTACACTGTATCTTCATAGGAGAGGCAGAGCAGACCAAATGGAGCTGAAAAAGCTTATTATCCCTGTTTGTGCCTCTGCAAGGCTCGAGCCACCAGTTCTCCCAGGAAATCCATCAGTGCCCAGGCTGCATTTGGATCAGGGGACTCAGGCTCCACCCTCAGGTATGTGGTCCCACATTGTCTTGCATAATAAACACTGTATTTGGCAGAGTACAGTATAGAGCAAGGAATGAGCCAGAAATGTTTCCTGGTGCATAAAAAAGGAGTGATTTTGATTGTGTTAGACACCAGTGCTGCCAGTGCCAGGAAGACATGCAGTATAGATTTCTGGTTTGCTTGGACCTTCTTCAAACAGGCTGGTAACTGACTTATTCTGCCACTTATTTCTCCTTTGTGAAAATAGCCCTTTAAATTCAGTGTTTAGCAAATACTG